AAGCGGTAATACTTTCATATATTGTAACTGTAGAATTTTTAGTGCTAAGCTTTTATCTAAACTGGATGATTAAAACTAACATTGTAGTTTATGAAGCGGTCGAAGTCAACTTAGAAGAAAACTACATCCATGCAGGATTCATTTCAGTCTAGTCACTACACACGTATTGATATTACTAATTAATAATAATATCCCAATGAAAAGATTTTTTTAATTTTTTGCAAAATTTTGTAAGAAATACAAGAGAAGGAAAATGACCCTCAAAAGAGAGATTCATAATTTTCGATGACACTTTCCACTGAAATTAAACATGGATTTCAATCACTTACATATCTAGAAACTATTGAGCTTCCAACATTTTAATAACTATCATCCTTGTTTTTCCAGTATCTAAAAAACCTGTCGCCCTCATTCCACCATCAAATTGGAGTTTAGAAGTTGGGTTGAGCGAAAGGGAAAAAAGAAAACCCTCAGTACAATAACAACAGTAGATAGGTCAACAAAGTTTTGTGCAAGAAGCGAGCAATTCTGATCCATCTCGCTTTCGATACACAATTCTCACTTTCATCTCGATTCTGCACGAGATACAAGATAGAATCCATAAATCGAGTAAAGCCAAGGAATAATTTTACCATCAATTATATTACCTTCAAACGGTTTTCTTTGGAAGAGTTGAGATGTCTCAGTTGCCTTTGAGGCGTGGTCGCTTAAGTTTTCTTCTTCTCAAATAATACATATAAGATGGAAAGCGAGGAGTAAAAGGAGTACCGTTGCAGAAGTTGTTAGTCTGTAAGTCCATCAAGTTAACCGAGTAGATCATCTCGCTTGATTCCATGGTGTTCAGTTGGAAAACGTAACCCAAAATCTATTATTTGGAGGTATTTACTCGCCATCACAAACGAGTACCTGTATAAACGTTGATCAGATTTGCATACTTAACAAGTGGGATGGCGTGACAGAATATCATAATAACCAATCGGAACGTTCTAATTAGGGGATTCCCCAAGGCACTTTTTATAGTAGCAATCGTATGACTTCATCCATTATTAACGCAAGCAATGCATTCGCCACCGTACTCAATCAATAACGCAAGCATATAAATCCTGAACAGACTCATTTTGGGCTAGATTATCTTTAAGGAAATGATTTTATGGTGGCTCCAAGCAACGGAAAGCTGGCTTGGAGTAAAAAGAAACTAGTACCCGAAGAAAATAGCGAAGAAAACATTTAAGATGCGGTTAAGGAATAAATATATTTCTTCAACGATCGATAATTCCAATAAAGAATATTTTTGCAACTGAACCTGCTACAGTTTTCAGTGCGCAACTTGTTATGAATGGCTAAGTCGTTACATGATCGGTGAATGCAAAACCAAGGCAAAACCATGGAAAGACACTCGTTTAAGATTATTAAGGTATAAGGATACCTTATACTGCGATTCCCTGTCACACGCGTTCAACTAGACCTTCATCACAAAGGAAAAAATTGAATTTGGGTGGACGTCAATCAAAAGGGTTTCTATCGTTTCTATTAGTTTCTACACCAGGACTGATGTGAATACTCACGTGAACACGTGCAAATGTGCAAAAATCGTTAAATAGAAAATATCATGAATAGAAGATATCAGGGTTACACTCCAGTGCCTTCGGACAATTGTTAATTTGGGTCAGTTTCGTTACATTTCATTGCATTGACCCAAATGCTTCGACTTGAAACAATCGTTTCAAGGCAACAGAGTGTAACTTCGATATCTGCTATTTATTGTATTAGTTAGGGATGAGGGCAAAACAATTGTCATCTCACGGGAACCTATTTAGCCGGGGCATGGGTAGTGTTATCCGGTACCCACGCCACCACCTCTGGAAGCGAAATGTTAGATCTCGTCTCCAAATATCTCCAAAACTAAAAGCCAATTCACAGAAATGAATGGACTGTCTGTCTGCATGTATGATAAAAACATATCCGTGCATAGAAATTGCCACTACATCCCCTCAGTATCGAGCGTTTGAACAGGTCTCTGAGGTGGGAGGGAGTATGTACCGCGGTACCCACCACCTTAATTCATGAAACCAGGTCCCTATTTTGGACCATTGTTTTGACCTCGCCCCAAACAGTCCCTTTCTCTGGAATTAGATGAAGCTTAGAAAAACTATTTTACCAACAACAGGCTTACCAGCTTTTATTTTCAACCAAAAAACTTACAGAGAATACAAATAACAATTAACGGTTTTGATTATAAATTAAAAAATATAAAAAATATGAATAAGATGTTTGTTTTTAGAAGTTTTAAAATAAAACTGATGACTGATGAGTTCGGTGCATGGAAAGTTCGTCGTTTGCCCTAGGCCAACTTACTTAACTTAACTTCATTTATTCATTCATTCATTCATTCATTCATTCATTCATTCATTCATTCATTCATTCATCCATTCATTCATTCATTCATTCATTCATTCATTCATTCATTCATTCATTCATTCATTNCATTCATTCATTCATTCATTCATTCATTCATTCATTCATTCATTCATTCATAGTAGTCTCTTATTCAATTTTGGCTCACGAGTTTTTTACTCTATACTAATAACTTCGATCTCTTTAAAATCTCGAATATCGTAAAACGCCGATTGCAAATAATACTTTAACTATTTTGCGGAGTGTCTAAATGTCCGCAGCCGGTCACATAACTCGAAATGCTAAATAGCCGGCAGTCCGAAACCTTTTCATACACTCATCCTAGTAATAATTATACAATGGATCCTAATGCATCCTACACGAATAATGATTTTACTATAAAGGCATTTTGCAGCGATCACCTCACATAACTTACCCTGCGAGCAGAGTCTCCTTAAAATCAAGGTTATATMAACTAAAATCCAAATATAATGTTCCTATCTCGATAAAGAACCGTTTCGGACTGCCGGCCATTTAGTGTTTTGATTTACGTGACCRGCAGTTGATTACTCTATGACCAAAAATATCCAAGTGCCATGAAAAGAAGCTTAAATATAGTATGCCTTATCGAGATCGGGCTAGATATTAGGTTTGGATTTTGGTTTATATAACGTAACCTTGATTTTTATAAAAATAAACTCACTTAGCATTTGAGTTATGTGACCGGCTGCGGACATTTAGACACTTCGTATATTTTTTATTTTGAGTCTTTTGAGTCTTYGCTCTAACTTCGCTCTCTTCGAAATACCTCAGACATTATGAGTAAATCTAAGGTCGTAAAAAAAAACAATACAGTAATTACCTATATATTTTTTAGTTATTTTAAGTAAAAGGTTTCAATTTGTCTCRAGTAGTTTTTACGAAGTTTATATTTCTACAGAGATATACAGACTTCAAGCAATTGGTGACTTTGAACGGCAATATGTAAAGTAGAACGAAACCAAAAAACACAAATAAATTTACASTACCTCCCCGACGGGCTTATCTGTTCAGGTCGGTTCTGCCACACAGATATTTGAAGSCATTTTTATGCCGATTCTGTCGAGTGTTTCGATTGGCCATTTCATTTCATCTACGTCATAGGTCAGTTCWGCCATGGAGGTCCGTTTCACCACGCCACAAACGGGGCAGAACTCAATGACAAGAGGTTCTACGGTGGGAAAGCGAAAAAATAATATCATGAACTCAAACGATCTTTTTTGTCTGATGTGTTTATTACAATTAAGGATGTGTGAGACTCTTGTTATCTACTATTTGTGTGTTGTACTGATGAGTCGTGATGTGGAAGAAACTGGAAGACCTGAAGAGAACGATGAACACACGATCTGAGCAAGTAATAGAGTAAAAGAGACGTCATTATCAATATCTAAACCTATTTCAAAAAACGTTGTAGGTCCGAGATCTGAAATATGTGGGCGATCTGAGACTAAAACGAATCTTTGTGCTTTTATGTTTTTCTGTCTAAAATACGAAACATCACATTTCTAAATCAAAGGTCATGCTTCGTATATAAGTCATCTCTCTTGTCCATCGGTTTCCGAGTTAATTTAGGTACAACAGTTTGCAAAGCCGTATTCCTTTTAGAKTTCAGATCTCCGACCGACAATGTTTTCTTCCCAAAAAAACAAAGATGTATATCTAAATATTCAAACATAGGTCATTTCTGCCCGCTTTTTTTTCTTTGGTAAAGGTTTCAAAAAATATATTTATGTTATTTACTGATAGTTAAGTCTTGAAAAGTTTTCGGATTCACGCGGAAGACCCGGTGATTCAGCCTTTATGTCACGGCGATGGTCCGTGTGGAAGCATGCAGCTTTTTAAACGCGTAACGCAACTTTACATAACATAACSCGGGCTATATTATAGGAAGGAATAAAGAATACATTTAAGATTTTCAACCATGGTCCACTGCGAACGGAACTACCACAGATWAAATATTTAAATGCAACTTTATGCAAAATTCTATTTCGTCCTAAAATACACTTTTACTTTTTCTTTTATCAATCTATACTATACTCAATATTACATCACTTTAGCGTCTGGGTCACAGAGTTTAGTCGACATGGAGAATGCAGGCAGAATTCGAGCCAATGTTGTTCAAAGAATTATAATAAATGGGAATAAATGTCTTTTTGCATAAAGTTGCATTAAGATATTTTTCTGAGGTAGTTCCGCAGGTTACGCTGCTCCGCGGTCCGTCAATCCTCACTTTTATTAACACCCGCTGTTATCCATAAAGTTTATCCACTGGATGAGATTCAACCATCGATATATATAATGAAATGGGTTTTTCTTCCTTTCTTTAGATGAATCATTGTGATGAACTGTAAATTATTATCAATTATTGTCATCGTCATCGTCATCATTATTATCGTTATTATTATTATATTATTATTATCATTATTATTATTATTATTATTATTATTATTATTATTATTATTATAGCAGGGTTCTACTTACACCAGCCTCGTTAGAATTCTATTTTAAATTTTGAATTTCTTTGCAGACCGAGAACAGCCAGCCAGCGCTAGATATTAGAGCAATAACCAGACGATGTACACAGCCATTTGCAGTATATATGGACCTGACATACGTGGGAAATACACTAGAACTGTAAAAACGTTATTCAAAGATGTATTAGATGTAACGATTGGCGTTACTCTTGATAGATTTATCCTTCAGGATTGTATTTTGATATATTGTATGTTTAGTCACGCAAACCTGTAGTACTTTGATATTGATATTTTAGAATTTTCAGTGCTTATCTATTTTAATAGCTTTTTATATTTCAATGATCGTTGCTAAAAGTACATACAAGTGACCACGAGCGAAAAATGTTCAAAAAAAAAAAATTAAAACTTATTATTTGATAGGATAATAACTTTTTTGAATATAATTAGCATAAGGAATACTGCATCCGTGCACATGCTGTACAAGGTGGATTCCCGGTACCTAGCAAAAACGATTTCTATCTATTCCTATCATTTCCGGCTTCCGAGGGCGTCCGCTCTTGGAATCTCATGAATGCGTTTCGGTGTTGGCTTTCCTCTCTATCCTCCGGACCCACCAAAACATAAAAATAACAAGCTATTCACCAGGAATCTCACTCAAACGTAAAGCATTCACAGTGAGCATCGACGAAGACGTTGGTAAAATAAAAGTGAACGACATCATTTTCTATAGAATCAAGTGGTCTCTTCAGGCCTGCTATCGTTTCACAAACTTCTTTGCTGCAAATACCTTTTCTAACTTCTTTCAAACCCTAGTTAATTCGCTTCTATTGACTGAATAGATCATAGTTAATAGAGGGGAATGGATTCACCTCTATCAACTGAATAGATCTAAATGTTTCTTGTGTGTCATTCAAGACTGTCAACAAAATGACAGCTAGAGTTCACAAGTCAACAATCCGTTTAAGGTAAGGATATTTAAGCCAGGGACAGAGCAAACTCATACAGTAAAGTTGA